ATACATTAATTTTATCTCCAGACAGATTCAACATTCCAGTGGAGCATTTATCTGAAACTTGTTTCAATGTTCTTCATAAATCCAAAATTTAAATTCTATACTTCAGCATCATCACCAGGCAGTGAGGTCACAATAAGCTGTAAATCATATAAACAGTCAGATATCATACAAGAACAAGAGCTACCCACAGATAAAGAACTGAATAATCTATTCAAAACTGAAGGACCTTCAAAGAGTGGTGAGACAGAACCAGAGATATCAACTGGAACAACTAAATCTGCTGACAAAACAAAAAATATCAGTGGGAGCTCTGAAAGTGCTGAAGATTCCACAACAGCAGAAGAAGAAGGTGGTTCAGTTACAGGATATATTGACAAAAGTAAGTGAAGATTATAATAAAGAAAATATGACATTATAATAATGAAAATGTCAAATTTACATAATCTGTTTATAATTTCTTTTGAAGTGATCATTTGCTGTCCTCGGAACCTAATCTTCCATTCAAATTGATGAACCTATAACAGGAGGTCACATTATCATGTGACCCTGTGAGCTGTCCCCTACCCTAATTAATTCAATTTTGGATTCTAGGCACGATATTCATGTCAACGAGCACCATATTTTTTTTAGTCAGATTAAAAAATTCTCACCTTTCAGTTTATATTATTTTTATAAAAAATACGCCTCTTTATCAATATAGATGAATCATTTCAATAGTTCTTAAAGAAACTTTAGTAGTCTCATTTCAGATACTGCCATCCATCTTAATTTTTTTTTTTTTTTGCATAATGCAGTGTTGAAATAACATGATTCATAATTCTGTAATGTCCTTTAAACTTTGGATTTACTTGCAAATTTTTCTAAAACAGTTTACTTTGATTTCTTCTAGTGCAAATAATAACTGGAGTTGTAGTTGGCTGTTTAATTCTTATAGCTGTTGTCATTGTCATAGTTCTGGTCTTCAGAAGGTAAGTTTCAGGAGTTCAAAGCAGTTTTAAAATGCCCTTATTCTATGCTGTGAGAGAATTATATCTAATTAAATCTAATTATCTAATTAAATAATTTATTTATTTATTTATTTATTTACCACTTAGTAAATCCTGAGGCAGCAAAATTATTATGTACAGACAACAGTTCCTGTTTACAAATATCCTAAAATTGGAGATGTTTGCACAAATAATTTCATAGTTTTTTCCATTACAGATGATGTTAGTCCTGTGTAACTACATCCAGTGTACAGACTCCTAAGATGTGATACAAGAATGAGGAAATTCAAACAAAGATGTGATGAAAGGATCATAAAGAAATTTTTTCTTTTAGTTCTCAAAAGAAAAACAAAAAGTATGCCATATGGAAATAAGTCAGTGACATGAGGGAAATCAAAACCATGCCACTAAAGGCATTAAAAAGATACAAAGGCAGTCTGCATATAGTGTTTTTTTCCAAAGACATTACTGTCATTGACATACGTATGGTTTTTAAGTGCTATGAAACAAATGTCAAAAACATGTTTATACCCCTTTAAAGTAGACGAGAAATCACAAGGGGAGAAAAAATGATTTAACCAATTAAGATAACTTACCTCCATAATTATTGTTAATTGCTTCTGATAGTGTAAAAGCAAATTAATGCAAAAAAGTGAAAAAAAAAAAAAAAACTTACTGTGTATTTATAAGAAAAAAGTTTGAAAAGCAGCATTCTTGCTTGCAAGAACCAAATCTTTAGAACAGTTACACAAAGTCATACTTTTTATATTGTGTGTTTAAAGTGAGATGATGTAGTACAATTATGTACTGTGTACAAGGCTTACATGTTTGTGCTAATAAATTAACATAATATTGTTATATTGTTCTACCTTTCAATAACAGCCATCAAGCATCATTGTGATATAATGTGAATACTATAGTTACTTTACAAAGCAGACTAACAAGAGGTTAGACATGGTGAAATTTGTTGACAGAGTTATCAAGATGCAACATGCAATGTATTGAGATGTATGTTTTGACTTTATGTACAGGCAGTTTCTATTCACATGGAGGAATTATCACCTATTTTCTGTCAATAATGCTGTTGCTATTGCCTTATTGCTAAGGGTCTTTGGGTCATTATACTATCCAAAATGACAGAACTCAATAATGGCTTTTTTGGAATAATAAAATCAAGTTTGATATCTAATACAAATTGCTATTTTCAAATTTCTCTAATGTTTTTCAATAATTTTGGCCTTCTGGACAATATTTCTTAAATCTAAACATATTATGTTAAAATGGTATTTAACTTTATGTTGTAAATATTATATTTATTAAAACTTTTGTTGGGATGAATTTCACAGATATTACTGCAAAAAGTAATGTAAGTGGAATTTTTCAAATGCTTTGAACATCCTGACCAAGTCAACTTTTGTCTCAATGTATTTTTAAATCAGAAATCATTAATTTTTAGTCTTCAAAAGCAAAATGGATGTGATATACTTTGTGAAACTATTAAATCAAATTTTATGGTCTATGGAGCAGATATGTCATAATTCATTTAATTAAGAAGTAGCAATTATGGATTATTTTCTTTTGATCAACTGGTATGGTTGACCATTTCAGTGATTTAAATGCAATGTTTTCATTACTTCAATCAAATTGGTATTTCTGTCAACATAATAAATACATTTTGAACAAAGAAATCAAAGACCTATTGTTTTTTTTTCTTTGAGGATTAAAGCATCATGGGCATTGCAATTTTCAAACTGGGATATGAAGAGATTAATTGAATCAAACTATATATAATTAAAATATGACACTGAGGTGTTCTTTTTATCTGAAACAAAAAGTCACTTTTTGGAAGCAGTGCACACAACATCTATTATTATAATTTCTGTAATATGCATTTAATATCAAGCATCAAAGATCAATACATATGTATACATAACCCTCTGAAAGCAAAGCTGTATAACCCAGCTGGGCCACACCATTGTATAACCTAAAGGAATGTACAAGAAATGCAATATGAATTTAGGAGTAAGTTGAACATTGAAACTTGTCATCAACATTTTAATGTCATTTAAATAAATGTGTTACATGACCACTTTTATTATGCTACCGTGATTAACCATAATTACCAGGGCCCAGTTTTATAAAGGACGTTTAGCACTAACCAGCGGATAAGCCTAACCAGTGGATAAATTCTCCTAACACCCATTAACTGAAAGATGGTTAAATTGTGTTTCACATACAGTGTTCAAACAGCCAATTAGTCAACTGGCCAGTGTTTAACTGGATAAAATTATTTAAATGTCAGTTTACTAACGGACTGTTTAATCACTGTTTAGAAACACAATTTCATCTGTCGTTTAGTTAACGGGGTTTAGGAGAATTTATCCACTGGTTAGGCTTATCCACTGGTTAGTGCTAAACGTCCTTTATAAAACTGGGCCCAGTATGTGAACAATAGGCAATGGCCTTGGAACAAAGTTTTAGAAGCAATCAATGATTTGGTCCCCGTTTTCTTATTTCAAAGCAGACTATGTCTAAGTCTGCTGTATATACATCATCTAAATGTCGATTCAAAATCTTTTGAACAATTACAATATCTTATATCCATAAAATCATATCTTACATTTCAATGTTCTCACCAATATTATTTTATACTCTTTCTACCAATATGTGGATATGATACAGATGGCCTGGTATATACTTAAGTTACTTTAGTAGATATTAAAATTAATAAACTACATAATTTGCAAATGGATTTTATTTATTTATTTATTTATTTTATCTTATCTATTTATTTATTATTTTTATTATTATTATTATTATTTTTTTTTTTTTTTTGCATGATGCTAGAAAATTCAAGACAAAAATATGATGGTAAACATAATATACTTTCTGCCAGAAAGATATAGATTTTCTTGGACCAGCTGGGAAGTCACTGGCCTCGGTGCAGCACACTTGTTCTGAGTTCAAGCATCCAAGTTACTGCCAATTATAATCTGAGTATTAACAACCTATGTGTTCCTATGTACATACACACACTAAACCAAAAAAGGTTCATAAACATGAAATTGTTTTTCAATATATGAAAATTTAACTATGTAATGTAGTGGGAAAATCTTGAGCATATACATATATAAAAAAGTAATGAATGGTAGGAGTAAATTATTTACCTTAAAGCTAATATGGTTATTTTATAATTATCTAAAATAATTTTTCCAAACTTTTTAAGCAGTGTATATGGATATTAAACCAGGCAAAAATATTAACATCTACATTGGTAACTTTCAATTTTTTGCACTAATTACCTTTTGCTGCTCAGCACACACACACACACACACACACACACACACACACACACACACACACACACAATGAACTATGGCCAAGAGGAAGTTTTACCATTTTAAAATCTTCATTAAAATCTCTCATTCCTGTTGTTTCCTTGTAAAACCATGCTACCTCACATGGTAACAGCTGCAACACAGAAGACACACCCTTTCCAACTTCACCTGGCCTCAAAACATCTATTAAACACGGGAAGGGCCAACTTTAAATGGCAACTTTACACAAAAAATATCTTTATTAATCATCAGTTCATAACAATACTGGCAAAGAGGAGGAATAATAAAGATGCTGCTAAGGAGTGCTTTCGTGTTGTCATGTGATATATGGAAGATCCATTTTTTAGTATGGTGCCCTGAATTGGCATGATGATGAAGTGCAACATGTTACACCGGGACAGCATTGCTGAGGAAAGACAACAAACTGCTGAAAGTCTTCGTGATCTATTTTGTTTTGTTTTGGCAGTATATTCTGGCAAAGGGTTGTAAGTGTTGACCCTTTACATCATGTTTGACTAATCACTGTACAGGTGAACAAGTGAGGATAATTGTGAAGAGAACCAAGTTTCAAAGTGTTCTTCCTATAGCAACAATGTAGTTTGGACATGAGGTATATTGAGTATCAGTATTCATCAGCAAAAAATAAGTAAGTTCAAATGTACACCTAACTACAAAGATGGTGAGAATATTGAGAAATGTTCTAGGCCTCATGCATATGATGCTGCTTCTATCAATAGGATCAAGGGTTGAAGGCAAGTGTAAATTTGGTAAACAATTTGTCCTGATAACTTAATGGATTGCATGATTTTACCTTTGAAAATAACAGTATTATCATAAAAAATAAGGGACTGCTGTGAATGCACCACTTTCCTGATGTATGCTGCTAAGCAAGACAATATTATACACTTCATTTCAATTTCTGAATACGGATGAGATAAATAACAAAAATACATATTTAAAGCAAAACTCTAAATACAAAAGCAAAAGCCAAACTGGAACTTTTTACAATTTTACTAAAAAAGGTAACTTTCAGAATCAAATCTTGGGATATCTGATTTGTTTTAATTGATTTTTGTTTGTTTTCTTCCCAGCTGATGACATCCGCTCTGCTTGCTGGGGAGGTGGAGGCATACCCACCATCAGCCCTAGCTGTCCTAGGGGGAAAGTGGTCAACATCAAGAAAGCTGGACTCAGAGTAAGCAGGACTCTCTATGCTGTTCATTTCATCTTAAAATAAAATTTGAAGTCAGTGCTGTACATTTAAATATATTGATGGTTGCTAATTAAAGGATACATGTTGCGTCAGGGAAAATATGTGACACTTGCAAGTATTCAATTTCTATGACTACAATCTTACAGTGATTTTTTAGCTTCTCATAGCTATGCTTTGTTTTGTTTATATTGTACAGTTCACATAATCACCTAAAAATCATTCTTTGGCACATGAAGCCATAATGTCTGCATTAAATATGTTGAAATATTTTGAAATATTCTAAATATTTACCCATTTCAACTAAAAAGGTAAGTTCATTCTTGTCATGCAATATATAAAAATAACAACCTATGAAAACCCTCTCTTGGTACACACACACTGTATCTATATTCATCATTTGAACAAAATGCCCTATACTGCACATTCTACAACAAATTAACAAAATATTGTAGAGCTTCATACAATTTAACCCTTTTTCTTGTATGTTAAATCTTAATTTAATTTCATAATCTTACATTCATAGTATCAGTCAGTTACAACTCAACACTGATAGCACTTAACCCATTCTCGTCAAGCCTCATTTTTATGCAAACATCATAAATTAACAAATATACATAAATATAATAAAAAGACAAAACTTGTATTACTAGGTAACATCAGGCAATAACAGATCCTGTGGCTATCATGTAAATGACTGTGGTTGCGATTATGACCAAGATGGCTGTCCAAAGCTACCAGCAGATGTCCTCAAGTGCACAGGGCGCAGTAACTGTCGTATCACGGGGATGCTGTATTTTCTCTCCGCCTGCCACCAGTTTAGTGATTACATGTATGTGGAATTTGAGTGTGTGCAAGGTAATTCAAATATCTTTCTTACAATCTTTAATTTTTTTCTATAAAATAATTCTTTTAAAATTCTGTAATAAACAATATCATATTCATATTATTTTCTGTAGAATCAAAACTTTTCTTCCTGTTGGAGCCACAAAGAGGATTCGACAGAATTATATGAATTAAAGAATGACAATGTTTACTGGACCATCAGGGCAATTTCCTTCAGTGCTTTGGACATTCTCTTCATGAGATATTTATATAGTAAAATGCTCACTAAACAGTAAACAGAAACAATATGCAACTTGTGTTAGAGTTACTTCATGCTAATGAAACAGACATGGCTAAATATTTTTGTCAGTCAACTTTTCATCCTCTTAGGGCAGGTTCCCAATGAAACTATTGTTCTATGTAGATTGATCCAACTCCACAGGGACTCTCACTGAATGCTATCAGATTAACTATTAACTGAATGACACACCTCCTCGTGCAGCAAGGGGGTGGTTAACTTCCGTGTGCTTTGGGTCGCACTTTAAACGAAGTGAAAATGCCGAGCACATGATCACATGATGCCATTCAGTCAAACTAATTGCATTAAGCAAGAGTCCCCGTGGAGTTGCATTGATCTACATACAACCATACTTACATTGGGAAAGCCCTCTTAGAATGACAGTTTTGTAAATCATTTGAATCTTTCCAAAAGGAATTTGACAAGCAGCAGAAATTTAGAAATAGCACAACTTTATTTATAGGAAATCTAGTACACGACATCTGTGGCCCAGCAGATCAGGTGAAATCTTCTGGTTATATCAGCTCTCCAAACTACCCTGGACCCTATCCAGACAGAACGTTCTGTCAGTGTGAGTTTGTGCCACCAGAGGGCAGCAGGCTGCTGATAACACGGGTCATGATGAAACTGGAATATAGCAAGGGATGTGAACAAGACCGACTTAGCATCAAAGAAAATGGACGTGAGGAAAACTACTGTGGGAGTTACAGCCCCAAGCAATTCGCCACTTATGGGAAACCATTAACAGTTGCTTTTGACTCTGATTGGTACAAATCATCCAGACAAGAAGGATTCTTGTTGAAATATGAAGGTAATACAGTAAGTTGGATAGTTATAATATTCTTTACAGTGTGACACTTGAAAAAACAAATATGCAAAACTACATGCTTTGGCCATCACACATGTAGGGCTCTGTTCTCACAACTTTTAGATCGATCTATCACCGCGGGAAGTCTCACTAGATTACTGTCAGAAGTGTCCGTCCCCGCCTACTACAAACTATAAGGGGTAATTAACTTTCGTGTCCGCCCGGCTGACAGCTATTTAGCGTGAACCCCCAGGGAGTTAGGTCGATCCAATGTAGGTCGATCTAATCTATGAGAATGGGGTGTAGAGGTTCTTTTGTTCAAACTGTGAAAATAAGGACCAGTGTAGTTATGCCATCAATCCCTTTTTACAGCGATAAACTTTAATTTCCATTTATTTCCATGTGCCTACACTTGTCCCAACAGAACTTATGTACAATATAATTCTGTTATTAGCCAACATTAATTTAACATAGCTAGCTATAGCCACCTATGATAGCAGGCTCTTCTGTGCCATCTGAATTCCCTGTATTTGTACCGAGAATAGTTTCTCAGCACATGAGAAAAAAGGTGTAGACCACGACTGTTATTCCACTAACTTTGTGGCAGTGGACACACACTAAGATTTTTATGACAATTAAACACTTTTTTTCCTATTCCAGTACATCCTAAGACAGAAACAGTGCATGTGAAATGCCAGAGCCTTCCCAGCACCAGGCCCCAAACTACCACAACCACCACAACTTCTACAACCAGTACAACCACAACTACTACTACTACTACTACAACAACCACTACTACCACACCAACAACCACGACAACAAGAACTACTCCAACTACAACAGTCACCACTAACACTCCAACAACAAAAAAGACAACAACCATACCCATTCCCAGAAGCTACACAAGAAAAACTAAACAACCCCAAAGAACCGATGTGAGACAGATCCATAGGAAGGGACAAAGAAGGAGACAAAAGAACATAACAGATACAAAATCAGACTTCAATGAGGTCCAAAAGGCAAGTGCCAAATCTTTGACAACAACAACAGAAGCAGTGAAATTCAAGAGCAGGAGTCAGCCTGAGAGTGGTAGAGGTCCTATCCATAAATCTACCAACACAAGAAAGAACCAACTCCTGCAAACAGACAGTACCAGCCCAGTGCAAAATGCTGGAAGGGATGAAAAGCAAGGTGACAAGACCCTGGAAAAAGGTCAGATTTTATAACTTGTACATTGCAATCTCTTTTGTCATTTTTTTTTTAATTAAGGCCCTAGATGCCCCAACTGCCTAGTTTCAGATATCACATAAAGTAATAAATAACAGTTACCTTAATTAATGATAAATAATAATAAATAAATAAATAAATGAATAAATAAATAAATAAATAAATAATGAGAGAAACTATGACCTGGTAAAATAACCTTCATCCATTAAATCTACTGGTCAGTGTTTCTACAGATAGAAAACTGATCGGTGTACGATTTTAGCAACACCATTTTAAACTAAGCTTTTTAAAAAATAATAATAAAAATCAGCATTTTTACAATATCTCTTTTGGAAGATTTCCAGTTTCCACTAGTGCAAAGATACATATCATAATGTGCAATAAGTTGTATTTAAATTAAATTTTTTCAGACAAAGAAGAAAATTCTTCAAAGTATGGGGATGCCAATGATTCTCTCACGGGTGAGACATGATAATTTGCACATAACTACCCATAATACACCCACTTTTAATCATAAGCTGGACAGAAACTAAAAAAAATTATTAACAAAGAAGACAAAGCAGTTCCCCAAATTTGCAACAACATCATGCTCATCGTATCTATAAGGTCATGTTTAACATATTTACACATCTGAGAAGGGTACATGTCCCTTTGACAGTGTATAGTGTTTTACACATAGTGACTCAGCTTGTGGCATGATCTACTTTAAAATGTGCTTCACAAAATAGCTATATTTTTTCCCTTTTGTTTCAGTGACTATTATTGCAGCATCAGTAATTGGTAGCATTCTCTTGATTGTTGTGGTGGGCATTTTAGTGAGAATGTGAGTATCAAGTACTGCATCATTTATAGTATCATCATTAACTAAATTTGCTTAAATATTGATGTAATATGCATGGGATAAAAAAAATCATTAGAAATTACAGAATTTGACCTTTATTTTAAAATAAAAAAAAATAAAACAATAAAATTTAGAAGAAACTGTTGAATAGTAAACACTCCTTTACAAAATAAATAAAAGCCAGCTCTATATTAATCATATTCATGGTTTGTTCTTCCTAGTCTGCGGACTCGTACCAATCCTCAGCAAGAACTGATGAGGAGGCACAGAAAGGAATGCGTGCTAAGGCATGGACACAGAGGACGCCCCCACTGAGAAAAGTTTCTTATCAAAGGTTCTTTGCTGTTAAACCACAAGAAAACAGCATCTTATCACAACGAAGGAACGTTAAAGAAGACGATTTTGAATAATTAGAAATAATTCACGATACAAAAAAGATGAAAATGTTGAAGAAATGAAAGATGTTGACATGTCAAAATCTATATATATTATTAACATGACATTTATAGCTAATCCCCTATACATTTTTTCCTTAATATGTAGTTTTTATTGGTACTTATGTTGTATAGTAGAACAAAGAATAACTGAAAATGGTAATAATTTGCCAGCGAAATATACAGGCATCACACAACAAAGGTACACTGTAAATGAGGCAAGGTGGGTTTGAGAATGTCATCATGGCGAGAGGGATTAACAAGTCATCATCAAGACTGAGGTAATACCCTGTTCACCTTCACCTGAACAGGTAATTCAGTTGTGACCAAGTCTGTCAGAATGAACGGACAAAACATTAAATAGGTAAATCAAATATCTAGATCTATCATAAATGAAAACTTTTTGACTATCAAATCTGAGATCCAATAAACTATTTTCAAATATGAGTTTTCTTGCAAACAAAGATCAAACTTTAACTGGACAGTATTTGAAAGAACCAAAACTAAGAAAAAAAAATAGAACCAATATCAAAAATTTTCATACAGAAGCATTATCAAACTTGAGAAGGATCAATAACACATTACACCTTCAAATGTTTCCTTTCAACATAATAATACAATACAAAGTCACATAATGTATATCTACATGTATATGTAATACTATATACATAACTAGGTAAGATAGCACAACCATGGAATCACTCTTAGAAAGAAACACCATAGTCAGTCTCATTAATTGGTTTAAGTTTTTAGGCTAATCTAAAACTAAATATATGAACAACGAAAAAATACTAATGCCATGACAGTTAATATTACATTTGGTCAAAGGCACCAGTTTAAAAATGAAAAAAGTTTCAGCAGCCCTTTAAAATCTTTGTTAAATATAATAACTTAGGCTTTTAAGATTCTAAGCAGGATTAGCCAAAGATCATTTTGACTCAAGTTCTTTCATGAAGCGAGATCCCAATTTTCATTTTAGCCTGCACTAATGAACTGAAAAAAGTTGCTGTCAATGGACAACACTGTTGTAGGCTGATAAGAAAGCTTCCTCTTTAAAGTATTTTTAAGTCATAACACAGTCATTATAACTGCATCACCCAAAATTCTGACTATTACCTCTGTAAATTACATGGTATATGTCAAATAAATCATACAAAAAGCAATGTTATTATTGTTGAATTTCTTACTCAATTCTCAAAGGGAAATAAAATCTCTAGGTTTTAGAAACATGGACCAATCAATAAGAAGATGGTATCAACCATAAGACAAGCAGCTTTAGTGAATTTATAAGATTTTCCATGGCCATAAAACAATTTTAACAAAATTCTGGAGCAAATATATTATACTATTGTCACATAAAAATTTGTTCTGCTTATTTTCTGCTGGTGATGCTTACATTCTTAATTCTGTATCTCCAACACCGTGAACAGAAAATCCACCAATGCCAGTTCTGGCCCATTTATCAGTAAATGTTACTAATCCTGTATGCTTTTCATATCTAGATAATGATTATCAACTGCACATAGACAATCCATACATTATATATATATAATAAAATAATCAAATGTACTATTTTCATGACGAATAGTATTTTAACACATATAATTGTGCTAGAGAAGATGGGGTAAAAATTCAGCAAAATGGGACTGATTGCGATTATGATAGATAAGATTAAGAGAGATTTATATGCACTAAAATTAAGATGCTACTGGAGAAAGAAAAAAATCTCTTAAAGATAGGTTTATTGTGTCAAATTATGCCAACTTTTGAACTTGGACCTGGACTTTACCAAAAAGATCCTCCCAGCAAATACAATTGTACAATTTGGAAATTGAAAGGACAACAATACCTAAGTATATGGAACGTACCAGAAAAAAAAAACCAATACAAAAAATAGAAAATTGTACAGGCTTTTGTAAAAATAAATAATCTTTTTTCAAACTCTCAGCCTTATGTGAACCTATTTACAACAAGGGATATTACATGTAAATTGAATTTCAAGTAAACAAAGTTTTCCTTTTGCAGCCATAAAAGTGTAATAGCTTTTGGAAAAATTTGATCAAATTGATTTTGTAACTTGGTCTGCTTTATTTTCAAGCAAAAAATCCCATCAAATTAAATGCAAAACAAAAATACAGCATCAATACATACACATTTACAAAAAGTTATCACAAGCAACTCTGAAAAGTTTCAAATTATATCCAGTACAGGGGAAATATAAGCAGAGCATCAACAGAAACCAAAGATATCACAAGAATGGTCAACAATGTCAAAAATGCTATCTTCATGTAACTGACATTTTGATGTATGCTGAACATGCTAAGATGAAGTTACATCATATCTTAGTACATGTGTGTTTTTGCATTTGCCTCAGGTGTAAAGCTGCACTACTTCGTCACCATGATGTGCTTCACACAGCCTTGCTGACCAAGCCGCTGTTATGTAACCGACAGCTCCTTTTTTTTATCTATAAATGCAGTTCAGTTCTTTTTTATTGCTTCCTACATTAACTTCCACATCATCATCATGTTGTTTCAGTTCCTCAAAATCTGGGACGTTTCTTATATACAGCTGTAGCTGCATGTGTTAACTTTCCCATCTGAGCAAAGCAAGTAAAAAGTTGTTAGATTTGGAAGTCGTGTTACCCATTTGCCTGACAGTTGACTGATATTACAACAACATGTCTGTGACACAGATGGCTGTGCACATTTTTCAAGAATCTGTCAACATTTTTCAAATATCAGAAATTTTTGTGTCTTACAATATGCCATTAAGACATATCACAAGTGAGGTTTTCCATTTAAATACAACAACTTAGTTAACAACAAAAACTCCAAATTAACAAAGTAACTAAAACAGACACGTGGATAAAAATGCAGTGACTATAAACAACCTCGTCTATATCCATGATCAATGGCACATTAAACTTTCTTGATTGAGCACTGTCATCAGCCTGGTGCCATATGTTACATACAACTGTTCCATTGCTACATTTCGTTCCCACCACACCCTTCCTGGCGAAGACAGTCCACAATGCTGGCATTTTCATCACAGCATAATGCAGTCCATAGGAGTACTATCTCAGCTGTATAGATACCGCTGTACCCCTTGATGGGGCCAACAATTAGGCCCAATTATTAATTTTTATCTCAAGGCACAGGGCAGGCAGAAACTGACCAGGATCTGGAAGCTTGGGGAGGGACTGACCAGAATGGACAACTGGACAGGGAATAGATGGAAAATACTAATATTTACCATGTCTGCAATGGGAGTACTGAGCATAGGTGGACACTATAGTAAGTATTAAGGCTTCTTAAGACATTTCTTGAAATTTTAGCAGTTTTGAAAAAGTTACTTGAAAAACAACCAAAAGATGGTAAAAAAGAAGTCAACAGATTTAAATGAAATTTAATTGCTGTATGAGTGCATTTTAAGTATTTAACTCTGTAAACAAGTTAAGTTTGTTCCAAACAAAAAGAGAAAATATAAATTTTGGTAATAATGAGGAAAAGAGAATATTAAAAATTGTAGTGATCAGTGTTTGCTTTACATAATGACGTGGAAAATTACTAGCAATAGTGCATCTGACCAAGGTCAATTTTAAATACTTTTGGATGGCAGTTAGTTTGAAAGTGTCTATAATAAGGGAACCACAGATGTTCTGTCAAGAGCAGTAAATGATAGGGAAGACACTTCAAGACTGTAAACCTAACTTACAAAGACATGATTTAACATGAAATTAATTCAATCATATATCTAAGAATTATTGGCTATTTTCAATTTTTTTTTTTTTACCAAAAAATTTATGTAAAATTTATGTTGTTGTGTAAGCTTTTTTTTCCTTCTTGGTTAAGAAATAGGTTAGTGCACTTAATTCTTTAAATGGTATAGGACTGCAAACATTGCTCATTTAGAATTTCAAGCCGAAATCAACTGCATCACACTTCTTTTGTTAAAAGAACTCCATGAAGCCAGTCGTTGTTTCAATTCCTACGGAGTACCAAAGATAGACCTGAGCAAGTGCAGTCAACTAGACATGATCATGATCACCAAAGCCATACAAGGCATCAGTCGCCAGCCTAACCAGTGTGAATACCAGGAGGGGGACTGCACTGATGTCATTTCCACAGACACAGATGCCAAGCTCCAGGAATGCGTCGGAAAGAGCACATGTTCTACAACTGTGACAGTGTCATGGATGCAATGGTGTAGTGCATACAGTACATATAACTATGTACAGTATGGCTGTATACCAGGTAAACCAGGGCCAGTTTCAGAAAAGCAAAAGTTGGTCTTTTATCTTTTGAATGAATGAGTGAGTGAATGAATAAATCAATCAATATATACATGTAATATGAAGTTGACATCAGGAATTAAAAGAAAGCTATTGAAAACATGATCATAATATGTAGTTTCTAGAATATTCTGTAGAATTACTCCTCCCCCAACATATGCCACAGACATGTATTAAGTCCTGAAACTCTACAGTACCTTTAGTACAAATAACTTCTCAAATAATAAGTCACTCATCCTTAATGCCAAACATTGTAACACAAAATTTAAAAGGAACAACAATTACATGATAAAGGAGTTCTTCAAAGATTTTTTTTCTTTTCAGTTAAAGACACCCTGGACATGTGTATCCGCGGTGGAGTTCATAGCACACTGACAGGCTTCATCAAATCACCAAACTACCCAAACAACTACGGCCCAGTGACAGACTGTACGTGTAATATTACCACAAAGCCAGATGCGAAACTTCTCTTGACTTTTGTCGATGCCCTAATAGAATGGAGTAAGGACTGTCAAAGGGATTTTATACGTATATATGATGGTCACCACAACATAGTGCGATGTGGCAGTTTGCACAGGAACTTCAATTACACGACCAAATTTGGTTCTGTTCTGGTGCGATTTGTGGCAGACGGACAGCAAGAAGGGAAAGGATTTTGGATGAATTTCAAGTGTGAGTTTGTCTTGAAAATTGAAAAAATTCATTTAAGTAAACATTTGATGATCAAAACCAACGTTAGTCCAATGACAAGAAAGCAGCAAATTAAATTCTATTATGTGAAGATGTTAGATGTTCAGAAGAAAAAGCACATCCTTAATCAGGACAAATACCTGGAAACAACATTTCGCAAGCTTCATAACACTTGTTCAAATACAAATACACAATACATTTCAAACTTTTGATTCCTAGAAACTTGATATATAATCATGTACAAAATATGTTTATATTTAAAGCAAAAAATCCTCCTTTGAGTCTGGATTAAGAGTTGTTTCTTATGCATTAGTCTCATAGTTTTGCTATATCCGATGTCCATTCATATTACGTTTCTTGAATTTTGCTTCACACATGTACATGTATAAATTCACAGTTATTTATCTTCCTAGCCCCCCAACCTGTGACTGTGCAGTGCAGCCCTACAAACTATATACCCACCACTGAACCTCCCTCAACAACAACTACAGTCAACATGAATACGGAGAAAGAAGATAAAAATACAGAGAAGTTGGCAGAGAAGGAAAATACACACACACTGCCAGGTAAATGTTCTTTTCTAAGGTTAGAAAAATACAAAAAGAAAAAAAAAATTGTGGCTTTCTCTTATGAGTTTCACATATATAAAAAAAATTTGACTTCCCCTTTTGAGCATGCATCTTTTCATGTGGCATAATCTGGGAGCAAGTTGTTGCTGATGGGTTGTATTGGGAACTGTCCTGATTTCAATTGCATAATCTTCAATAACAAACTATTAAAGGACCTATATAATCATTATTTCAGATGCAAATAATGAACCCTCTATAGGTATGTATAGTATGCTATGAATTGAACAAAAAAAGAGCTATTCAAAGCATGGTGAAATAAGATTTTCATTGTTTCTTTTGTAGTAATGGTAAAAAAGTAAATTATTTCTGGTTTGGGTTGCAATGTCTTGCAGGGTTGAAATTATAATAAAAAGAAATTTACTTGTTTTGTTACCATATTAGCCAAGTTGTACTCATTCATCATCATTTCTTAAAATGTGTATATTTATGGAGATTGAGTACACATATATCTCACAACATATCTAAGACTAACAGAACTTATAGATCCAATAAATAAGGGGAAAAAACAGTGAATGACTTTGCTTGTTCATAAAAGGAACAAAAAGCAAATCATCTTAAATTATAACAAATTAAACCCACAAATTATGTTTACAATCTTTTTTCTAGCTGGGATTATCATAGCATGTGTCATATCCCTGGCCTTCTTAGTTGTTCTTACAGTTCTACTCATCAGATTCAAAAGGTGAGGGAATATCATGTCATTGTATAAACTATAACAACAATTGCAGTATATGTTATGTATATTAAAGGAGGAAAATCTATACACATTATTATTCAGGGTAATTCACCTGAAACTTGCCTTATTGTAATGCCTGTAAACTAAAAATATTCAGACATGCCAAAAATGGTCAAGGTATCCAATATTATATTTCAGAACTGTGCAGTTATGTCATCCACAATATCATGATTTCTACATAGTATGAGCAAAAAATTGAATTTAATTAAATATTCCTTCAAATTCTAGGAAGCGTCACAAGGAGAAAATTTCAAAAAGCCCGTCTTCCGAATCTAATAGCAGTCAGGTTCCAGGAAGGATCAGGGGCAGTCAACACAGTCGCCCTCTACCTGATCCTCCGGTGTCACCAACAAGTAGTGACAAGAACGGAACGTTTGAGAAAATAGAAGAAAAGTCTGAAAAAAGCACAAACTGTACAGAAGATGTGAAGCAGGATTCACAAGAAGACAGTGGTATCAAGGAAAATCCCATTTGAGCCAGCTGAGAAGCTTCACATAGAAGCTTCACAATTTTGAACAGAGAGCTTTTGAATTTAATTTCCATGTTAATTGTGATTATTTTCTGACCAGTACATAATCAAACTAATATTTTAGACATGGCAATGCAGTGCATTTCACCAACAAAACTCAACCCTTAATTTCAATACTGATTGGATTTTAACCAATCAACTAAATGCCAAAACCATCATGCCAATTAGGTCTGTTGACCACCCCCACACTATTCCCATGAACAGTAACCTTAAGCTTTGAAATTGGTTATGATATTATTTTATACTGATCCACATTTGTATTACACATGACAAAAATACATTTTAACCTTGACTTCTAATCCAGAAATGATTGTTCCTATGGGATCATTACCAAAGGAACAGGAGGACTTTATAATATAACCCTAACCACAGGGTTCAAGGCTAAATGTACCATTTACATGTACATATATGTGCACTTTCTACATATCTACAAGTCTTTAGTAAACAACAAAGTTCAAGTGCTTCCAATAAACTTAACAACATTCTATCAACACAAACTATTATTTTTAGCTACTACTATCTTTAATTTAGCAGCATCTTTTCATTGGTATCTATCAATTTGTCTGCCAAAGATGTACAGCAAAATACTACATGACATGTATTCCTAAATTTGAAAAAAATATTCCAGCAGGTACCTTAGAGAATGTTTTCTTCTTTGTCTACATGTATATATTCACAACTGCCAATGTACTTACTTTATATTTTGTTTATTCAATTATCTTTTACTTTTATTCAGTTAATTAATGTTATTATTTTTTAATGTAAATTAATGCTATTACGACAGAACATCGGTAAGAGAGACCTCGCAATTCAATATTACAAAAATTAAATAATCACATATAACAGAAATGGCATGATCATCCGTTTATTACCTTAAATTACCAGGAATATTGGAGGTAGGATGATGAAAAAACACAAACAAACAACAAAAAAACTTAAATGCCAATTTTAAGTATATGAAGTATAAAAATAATATAATGCATAAAACAATTGTATGAACACAATGTTTATGGGAACAGTAAAACAGCATTATAAGTTGATGATAAATGGATGATATGTGATATGTTTTGTAATAGTTTTGTAAAATAAAGGTGGTGGAAAACAGCCATATCATATCTTATAGAGCTATTTTTTCAATCTTTGAATAAGGTGCTGTAGAATCAAATACAGTACAATGCTTTAATTTTTAGTGCGGCAGTAGATTGCAAATAAAGATAAACAAAATCAACCAGATATCAAATATAAAAAGGTCATTAAATCAGACACTTGACTAAGAATTTTCACAACTGGTATCTACTGTAAATAAATGCCAGTCAAAGTAACTTCTTTCCTGAACTTTGATGGTATCAAATAATCAATAATTTTCATCATTTATATAGTATGTTGTCATTCCAACAATGGGAATGCAATTGTCACGGTGGTTTTCTTTTTTAGTAGTAATTTATGTCTTCAAAGTCCAAGTATGATTAACAAATAGACGACAAAAAGAATCCTGTTTATGTTTAGGTATGGCCATGATTAAATTAATGTAGATGGGGAAATGACTAACTGTGGACAGCACCAGCTGTATATAACCAGAATATATTTACATAGCTTTTAAAGAAAAGACCTACAGCTCAATTCTGAAGGTATTATACAACATTATATTTGTATGACAATTTAAATTTCAAATTCTTACTCACCTTTTAATTGAATTGTCAAAGTATATAAGTAGAGTTGTCCACAGCAGGTAAATATGCAATTGGGAAACAGCAACATGAAAAAAACACAAAAGAAAGAAAAATCTTTATTATAACTTTATGTTTGGAAGACTGAGAATAGAAGCAAATATATAACAGTGCACAACAGGTAAAACCTATCTAGGCAGTATGACAAGTAAGTGTAATCCAAGAAAACAAAAAAGTTAGATAACTTAAGTAGCAGACAGATACACAGTATATGTTTCTTTTAACACAAAATGATCTAACAATATATTTCATTAATTTTTTCCATAAAATTAACTAACAATATATTAGATTAACGATTGAATTTTTTTTCGTTGGGGGGGGGGGTTAAATACTTGTTGGTCTTATAGCCACACGTGACAGAGTATGAAGTCACTGTCAAGTATATGATAACAACAATTTTCTTTACTTAGTAAAGTAGGGAAGAACATAAGATATAATCTTTTAATTTGGAAGTCTATACACTAAGCGTATAGGTAAGTGAATTTAAGGAAAATCTTAACAACCTTTGTGACCAAGGCATTGCATTTTATCTAACAATCCACCTATTGAAGTTAGAGTTAAATTGGTTTGAATCAAAACAGCATTGAACTTTCATATATCTGTAGATAACCAAACACCCATTGTTTCCACTAAACACCATTAAGCTTACTGATAAGCTAAATTTCTGCTTGATAAAGAGGCAAAGGTAACTCCATAAAAACTACACAATACAGCACAACAGTTGGATCAAGTAGAGGAAATACGATTTGAGTTGAAAATAAGCCACTTTTGCTGTGGTAAACTTCTCTATCACTACCACTTATTTTGAATACTGCCTCTGGTCTGATTACATTAACTGGAGAACTGACAATGTTTTATGGAAATCATTTCTTCTATCAATGTGACTGCTATATGTAGTTACCACCATCGCCATTACTTGGTTGGAAGTACCGCACGTACTACATGGACAGATGGACTGGTAGGTTTAAGTCAAAGCTCTTAGGGTTTCTTACAAGAGAATATGAAGCTTAACTGAAATCTTTATTAGCTATAATTCAATCAAATTGCACTTGAAAACTGTCATCAATGGCACTACATTCTGCACCTTCTGTTCCTTAGTTTTGATCACAGCAGGTTAATTTAAAACGGGGGTTAAGCTTTTGTGCTTTCAAGGCTGGATATTACCATCATAAAATATTTCTGTTATATTTGCGAACATCATTTTAATCTCAAAAATTTTATTTGGTGCATAGAATTAGTGTGGTGGCCCATTATATTAATGTACTTCCGCAATAGGTTATCATCTGGTAGGTCATGTGAGATATCAAGTCATCAGAGAGAAAAATAGCATTTATTTGTACCTATTCGTTCCATGCTTTTCACAAGACAATCAATCAGACTAATTATATAAATGCATCACATACTCAAATGCTGCGGCTGCAATTTAGCATATTAAAGCATCCAGGACAAAGCAAAACTAGTCATATGATAGTAATATTTTAAGTCAATAGTAATATCCTATTGCCATCTATTACAGCTTCCTGTCTGTACTTAGCCAAAGCCTTAAAAACTGTATCAAAACTCATAAAGAACTTAACTTCAGTTTTTTTGCTTTAAAAGACAGAAAGGATAAACATTCTTAAGATGTCAGAAGCAGCAATTTATACCAGTTAATACTTCAGTATCATTCATCCAGAATTTCTATAATTCATCTATGGCACATGCTTTTTGTAAATACCAGTACTTCAGAATTATTATATTGTAGTGTGTATGTGTGTGGGTGTGGGTGTGTGTGCACATGCGGGTGCATGTGTGTGTACTGTGTAAAGTAATTGAATCATTGTAAAAGCAACTCTCTGTAGATATACTGTGATGCTTAATCTACATGTACATAAGAGATAGTGAGCAGACAAAGATGTATTGTTTTAACCTTATAACATATCACTGTTTATCTTTATATCAAATAATGTAAACGAGTCTCTCATGTTCAATACATGTATGAATCACAAGGTGTAGAGATATATTCTAAAATTAGCCAATATACATAGGAATAACTATCTTGCACTTTCTGAATGTGAAATCAATTAATAAGCGTGTACCAGGCAGTGGTAAGGACAAAAATCTTACAAATACTTAACTGGAGAAAAACCAACTGCATTCTAGGCATAGAATTGAATATTGCAGGCTCTTATTATAAAGAAAATAGTTTTACAGTGGACTTCTGATCCAAGTTTTCCTAAGTGACCCTTTCTTACAGTATATGACTGAGAGTAATTAGGCTATCGGAATGTATTTATCATTACATCATCTTTACACGTCTACCCTTGTGTGCCATATTGGTTGACACATCAACATTGTATTTAGCACTTGGTGCCACATTAATTAGGGATGCATTCATAACAATATGTTATCTTTTGCCTTATAGTTACAGATATTGCTACAAGTTCACAAGAAAATGCCATTGCCTCAATAGTCAGAGTAAATATTATTCTGCACAATAGTCAACACATATCAAATGATCCAGCAATCAATAACCAATTGATCACATTGATTAATTACATTTTTCCCTATGACTGGTGGGTTTTATTGTCACACTGTTACCCTTCCTCAAATATACTTGTTTATCTATAGTTTATCAAAACCCTCTAAGGTGTTATCCTTGAGGATATCTATAGATTAGGACAACAATGATAGGGAGTAGGAATAACAATTATTGAACTGTTTGTGATATGGTGCCTCGAAATGTGACAATGGTTTGTTTTCCGTCCTTTTTCAAGGTGTAAAGCCCTGTCAACACATTTTATCATCTTTAACCTATTACACAGATCAGAAGGACTTAAAATAACGTCAATATTTTCAGTTATTGAAAGAACAATTCTACTGACTTTACAGTGGTGAAAATATTCTGTGCCCGTTTTGAAGCAATTCTGAATGCCAGTCTTGGTCCAGCCATCAGAGGAGGAGGGAGAATACGTAAACTGAAAAAGCTATTAATTATATACTTCGTGCATGTTGCCACAATTTGATAGGACACATTTTGATTCCAGATGAGGTATCATTTCCACTACTTATAAAAAGGTATAGTCTAGAAAACCATCATCATTTCCTTTGGCCTAAACATTTGTGACATTACTAATTACCTCTGTTAATGTCATGGTAACGCAGATGTAACTGTTGTAGAATTCTATATATATATATATATATATATATATATATATATATATATATATATATATATATATATATATATATATATGGATATCAAAGATATTTTTTCTAAGACCAATATACATATACCCAGGCCCTACCACTGTATATAAAGTATGACAATTATCTGAATCACTTGTTTAATGTACCAGAGCAGTGGGACCCTGAAAACACTGAATTATTTATGCGGAAATCTGAAAACCATCGACCAGCTACTTGGGTCGCCGTCACATGGCTGTAAATACGCAGGTGAATGGTTCAATTGCCTGTAACTCCTACGTCTTCACTGATTGCATATAAGAACAAGAGTGGACGCTACGGCAGCCTTATTGGAAATTCTCAGCCATAATTTTATGAACATTAAGAACCAGCAAAACTGCACTGACTGGATGATCGTATCTCAATCTATTTAAGAAAGGTTTTTCATCCAGCCTGACAAAACCATACACACAAGATTAGTCAGTGCATGATTCCTTTTATTGAGATAAATCTTCATTTGATTTGAGGACAATATCTATCCAAGGACAATATCTATCCAACAATATCCGTAGTAAGACGGAGATGAGGAATAGGCAGGAATATCACACTTCAGTAGACAGGGAGAAAGGACACAAATAAATTGAGGTAAGAGATAATATTGACAACTGAAATGGCAAATAAAGATGGTAGGTTAAAATCTCGCTAACTATCTCTAAAGCACCATCAGTTAATCACTTGATAAAGAAGAAAGCATAAATCTGCCCATTCATGACTGGATGGAATTCTGTTGTGTATTTATATCTCTTGGCAAAATGGTTCACAGTGTGTGTGTGTGTGTGTGTGTGTGTGTGAACGTGCAAGCACGTGCATATGCACACATGCACATGGGAGCACCTATGCAAGCATGCACATGCAAGACTAAAACCAAGAATAACAAAATCATGGAATATAAAACTAAGTCTATGAAACTGGAATTAATGTGACTGTGCGCTGTACTATCAAGTGACAAAAATTAATTAAACCACTTGAAATAGTGTTTCATGGTAGATAAGAGGCTATAAAGGCAATGAAAATACACATTTGCATACATCTTGTATTGATTTCCTTTAATACCTGTCCTTGAAAAAGGGCCCATCCTCTCAAAGTATAAGCTTTGACATTTGTGTTCATCTTCAGAGGGCAAGAACAGTGTATACTGCAGGATATTACATGGAATTTAATATATTGTGTGAGTGTTAGGTTAATAAACCTTGTCTTGAACTACAAGTAGAATAAAGTGCCAGTCAACTTCTCTCCATTTTGATAGTCCACTTTATTAAATGTCAAAATCTCAATAAATATGAATCTCGATTGTATTCTTTGAAGATTCTGTCCTTGATTTTTTTACCATTATCATTTTCAATTATCTTATCTTTGAATATTTCTTTGTGCTTTATTGGTTAAAGATATGTTGGGTATAATCAAACATATAGTCTGTTTCAAACAATCCACTTACAATAATACAACAAATCAAGTTTGAAAATCAGACAGCAAGACTGACATATATACAGACATTAAAAAGAAAAATAAATTTCAGAGTTATTAGGTCACATAACCAAAAATTGATGAAATAATCTTCAAATGAAAAAAAAAAATTCAGTAGTTTTTCTTTAAGCACCATGGCCTTTCCAGAATAATAACATCAAGATTAAACACATATATACATAATAGGGGTCAATTTATTTGATGTTGTGCCTAAAGATCTTGGTCACTCAGAATGTTCATAAACTACATTCAAATACTGAAAAGTCATGAATTATAGACAAAGCTGATCAGAATGGAAACAATGTGCCTGAATATAAAAAACTTCACAGATCAATACCCATTAATGACTGACCAAATAATTTCTATTGGTTTTTCTTGATTGTACACATCAGCCACGATAGAAAAACTGTCCTTAGACATTGATGAAGTGAGGTGAACCTAAATATGTGAAAGTCAAACCGTTTCACATCTGGCACAGGCTTGGAGACAAAGCCAATGAAATGAACATCAGGAATTAAGCAGAAAAGATATCTGAGACACTTCCCATCTGCCGCAGCATTATGGTTTAGAAAATCTCAGAAACAGCCCAGGAACATTGTCTCAAATCTAGGTAGTTAATCTAGGGAATCGAGATTCAAAATGTTACATAAAAACAGATAAATTCAATTATACTGTCCAAAGTAGTCTTTTTTTTTTCAATTAACACCACTGTATAGATAGCTGCAGTTTCAGTTTAAACATAACATGAAATTGGACAATTATGGCGTACTCATGAATTAAATAT